CCAATTTCTAAATTAAAAACTAGTTAGCACCAACAATCGAACGAGAGATGTCGCCATTGCTTTTTTAGAAATTTAAATTGTTTATAGTGCTAATCTTTGCACTTAAGATTGAACATTAACATCATCATTTCGTCGGTGTGGTAATCAGCCGTTTAGCTCAAGTGGCTAGAGCGTCAAGCCGCGAATGCCGAAGACGTGGGTTCGATTCCCACAGCGGCGACAATCTTTTCGCACATTTTCTACATATTTTAATGTTCAATCTTAAGTGCAAAGATTAGCACTATAAACAATTTAAATTTCTAAAAAAGCAATGGCGGCGATATTAAATTTAACATCATCTCTCGTTCGAATTATCGTTGTAAACGATATTCGAAGTTGTTTGTATGCGGGAAAGCACATTTTCTACATATAACAATAGAGTGCGCCAATGGCGACATCTTGCGTTTAAAACGATATTCTAAGTTGTTTGTATGCTGGAAAAACAATAGAGTGCGCCAAGCATTGCTTCAAATGCTAAGAAAAACAATGTGGAAGAATGCGTTAAGATTTTCGTCGGTGTGGTAATCAGCCGTTTAGCTCAGTGGCTAGAGCGTCAGGCCGCGAATGCCGAAGACGTGGGTTCGATTCCCACAGCGGCGACAATCTTTTCGCACTTTTTCTACATATTTTAATGTTCAATCTTAAGTGCAAAGATTAGCACTATAAACAATTTAAATTTACAAAAAACATGATAATATTAATATACTATATTATTATTAAAATTAATAATATACAGATATTTATTTGTAACATGTTATGCATTAAAAACTTATTTAGTAGAGATTTAGAGGTTTAGTAAGAAAGCGAGAAGGATGGATAGGACATTGCTCTACATTGTTTATGTATCTTAGATTAGGGTTCATCTATAAATAAACGAATTCTTTTAATAAACATCGTCTGTATTATGTTCACAATTGAACGCATATATTAGCACGTTTGTATCTTAATTATTTCTTGGATATCTATCTATTCAGCTACGTAAATTACGACTATTTATATTCTAAATGTATCTTTTTTTCGTCAAAACGCTTATAAATATATTAAATTTCTTTTGTGTATTTAATATTAGATAAGACAGAATTTAGATGGACCAATTTAGTTAATTTGACACTGCCAAATTTGTAGAGTGAACTTGACAAAACTAAGCGTTCTTACCATTTCTTAAACTCATTTTCGTGTACACGTATGATAAATGTTATAAAAACTAATCGCTTGTGAGCCAAGCGTTACTAAATTATTTAATATTATTTCTCATATCGGCACATACTTCGTCGTTTTGTTTATACGTTCTGACGGTTGCTTAGACCTATAAAACGGTCTAGCTGAAATAGGGTATCTGTAATGGATATGAAGTTCTGTCAGTTTCTCATTTTCCCGGAGACAGTTCTCACGTGTTGCAATGACCAGTCCACTGGATATGTTGGCCGATGAACTTGTTTCAACCCGTCCATCTATCGATGACTAGAAATCGTTCTCCACCCGTTCGATTATGCGTCTGCTGATTATCACTAATTTGCCAGTGTTCCAATTCAAGCGTTGTAATTCTTGCAAAATATATGTTCCAAGTACACTTGACCTCATTGGTAGCGGGCACCTAATGTGAATAGGATATGAGCTTGATTTATCTAAACATTATAACTGTTTACTTAATGTCTTTAAGCATTTTATCCGACGGCACTTTACTGCGGCTGATTTTATATTCCTAGCGTTATAGTTAACCCTACCGTATAGTATATAATACGGTACCGAATAATCTACAGTCTATGGCGCAACGGCGTCAACTACTATTGCGCCGCCTGGTTTCGAATCCAAAACGGGACAAACGAGACAAATTTTTTGGTTCACAAAAGTTTTTCTGTTTGCGGGTAAACTTTTTGTCCGTGATTTTGAAACCCTATACGACAGATAAACTATTTTCATAAATACAACGGGTATTGTTCTTATTACAAAGGCTTGTGGAAACTGACTGAACTATTTTCTCTTTATCTATTTATATTATACATAAGAAAGTTTCGAATACGTAGCTGGTAAAAGCACCACGCCAATGGTAGACGGCCATAATTTTGGTCAGAGTAAAGTAAGTTCTTTGTTAAGTACGGGTCCGTAACGACGAACCATATTTAGGATGTTTAATAGCTGCATTCAATCAGCAGCCTAGCTTCTTGTGTGGCGTGTTTAAATTAGGAGCAACTAACACACAAATTTTTTTTCAAATGTGTTTTGTGAATTGTGAGAGACAGCCGACTATAAAAGTCATACTTAGACCATCCCGTCATCTTTTGCCACAAATAGACATAATATTAACTATAATAGAGCTTTATTGTGTTGAAATTTCTTATACAGTTATTAATTACTTGTAAATATTATTGTATCAAGTTGTGAACGCATATTTTGGCTGACATTATGTAATCGTTTACCTCATTTAACTTTATTATAATATGTTACTTATTTGCTGTTTGCTTTGTGTACCAAAAAAAATGGGCCAACATAGCATTTTTAAAATTAATAAACCCGTTTAAAGTGTTTTTTTTATAAATAACACGCAACCCTCTCAACAGCTCTGGCATTCTATTCTGGAATTTGAACTTAAAAATATATAATTATTACCCATGTATTACAGATTCTTATCTTATATCATTACATATTTCGTCGTGACTTTTAAATCACTTATCTCTGGTTGAATACCGTTGAATCAACATAAATGTCACGATTTACCAATAGACTATCTAATTTGAAAATTTCTTAATTATTCTAATGCCCTCAAAACTGGTTTTTCGAGTTACTCTGCATAAATTGTCATTAACGATATAAATATACAATTTTGTAATGAAATAATCGTGTTAATACGTAGTTACAAAAAGAGAACGACATTTAGGGTTTGTATGAAAGTGTATAGTAAAGTAACAGCCTGTACATGTCTCACTGCTGGGCAAAGGCCTCCTCTATACAGAGGGTATCAGGGCATAGTCCACCACGTGGCCCCACTGCGAATTGGCGGACTTCACATATCTTCGAAAAATATTTTTTTTTTGTTATTATTTTCGAAAATATGCCAGGTTTCCTCACGATGTTTTCCTTCACCGCGGAGCATGTGATAAGTCAGCACTTAAAGTTAAAAACTTCATTGGTGCCGGCACCGGGGATCGAACTCAGGTTGCTCGAGTATATTGAATTAAAGGCGAGCGCCCGGACACTGAGCTATCACGGCTCTTAAAGTTTGAAAGTGTATGGTTTGTTTTAAACAGAAGAAGCGCAGTAATAATAAGCTTACTACTGAATTAAGTTTACGTTCTAAAAGAAACTCCTACTTAACTACCACAAGTTCTTAATTTACGATCATTACGTAAAAATATAAGCATTACAACTAAAAATAAATCATTTATTAATTTTTTCTTAGTACCCACTACGTGTAAACGGGTGTACATAGAATTCTTAATCTAGTTTTTTTCCATTGCTTTGAAAGATCAACGTTAAGAAACGTTTTAAATAGAATTTGTGTGTGATCACTTCAGTCTCTCCCAATCTCTCACTCAATTATTACGTAACCTAATCTGATTTGCATTAGTTTAATAGTTCTTTTAAAAGCTAAACTATTGATTTTCATGGGCAATAACAACTCAACATCGGATTAACCGCTTACTTGCTAGCCACCCTCATCAATAAAAAATAAGTATTCATTAATGATTTAGTCTGTTTTTTTCTAAATAAAATTGAAATGTGTCAGTAGAATATACAATTTCTCATCATGTCAAATATTAAATACAATTTAACAAATAAAATTTAATAAAAGTGATAATGTATTAAAATGTTATTTAAAATTAGTTTAGTGGCAACCCTAGCCGAAGTTCCTCATGGATGTTGTACAGCCAAAGTGCGTTGCGTAACGCGTGTTTGCCTCCCGTGACTCGTCCGCTATTGCGCTGAGATCCACATTCGTGAACCAAATGTTTTAAAAGAATGTAATATATTGATCGTAAAGTCAAAGTTAACAAAAGAAAATTAAAGTAAACCAAAGTTAATTACACGTGAAAGAGTAAGAAGATAAGATCGAACATTTCATTTCAATTACCTACATAATCTTAGTTAATTAAGGGATCTGAAAAATTATATTTATGTTTGTCGCCATTGCGAAAAGTTTTTAAATTTCTTGTCTTCAAATTCAAATAAAAATATTCTTAATAATTATAAAGCGTTCGAGGCTGAGGCAGAAATTGTTGTAAATTATAATATTAGTATTTTGCTTGATTGTTCATGTTAAATTTTCTGACAGGCAGAGCTTAATTAATGCTTATATGAAGTAAAAATTTGTAACTCATACGTCAGAAATAAGCCATGTTTCCGTTCAGTCGCCATAAGATCCTGTATAAATGTACTTCAAAGTTGCGTAGTGCACTGTTGAGTCACTCATTGAGTGACGCATTGCTTAACTCATGTGTCGCTATACCAGGCTGCTAATTCATATAAATTACAAAATTATTATTTCTGCAGCATTAAACATTTCTCGCAGCATAGATACGATTATTTCTGTTACAGAGTAGCTTGAATCTTACTTTTTAGCATAACAGTAAAGCACTATCAGCTCAAGTATATAATAGGATAAAACAGTGGAAAAAAATCTTCAATCATCCTTACAAAATTACCGTTTCTCTGCCTTACTTTAAAATATTTACTATTAATTTTTTACAACGTAGTAAATTGTAGCATAAAGGTCTCTCTGCGTATACAAATATTTTTATCAATTTGTTTTATTTGCATCCATAGTAATGAATCATAAAGTCACATTAAAAGTTTGGAATAATTATGACGAACCCGAAATTCAGTGGCGTACATTTATATAGAAAAATGGAACTGTCGTCGTTTATTCAAATTCAATGTGAAGTATCTGATTTATTCTTAAATACTGAGAAGTCGATGGACACTGTTGCATTATGAAATTGAAACATTACCCTGGCAAAGCGGTCATGGAGGACCCCTGGCTTTCTATCAACGATAGGACTATGGACCTCGTTTACGCTGCGAATTGGGTCGGTGCAAGCAATTTGGGCAGCTACAATGAAAATGACTCCAGTTCGAACAAGGTCAAATTCAATTCTATATCCAGAAGCAAATCGTGCCGCGACATCGGGCGCAGTGACAAAGACTGCGACGGAAAAACAGTCGACTTCGAAGACAACGGATGCGATCAAGATGTTCCCAACGAAAACATTTCTCAACTAGCTAAGTATCAACAAGACATAGAGGAGAAAGCTAGGGCGAATAACAATCTTATAAGTCAGAACAAATTGAAACATAGTTTTAGTTTTAAAGATATGCCAAATGGATACAGGCCTTCCACTTTACGGAGGGTGAAGCGAAGGAATTTCACGGAGTGGGATATAGAAGCGTTTGGCTCCAACGAGCGCCACCCGCCCGTTCCCCCACAGAGGAAAGATTCGCTGAAATACGCGCATCGACAGAGAAAGGTTGACTCCAAGAAATCCTACTATCCCCCACTACCCGATCCCGGTCCAGTGCCGCCGGATCCGTCGTCTGAATCTTATTACGAATACTACTCTCGTGTAAGTCAACAGAACAATGATACCGATAGCGATAAGATAAAACTGCAGAGAGATACAAAAAAAGACCGAAATGTAAACAACGACGCGAAACAGAACGGCACGGTCCGCGGTTTCGGCAATACCGGCGACACGATGTACCATCTAATCAACTCTATGGCAACACTAGACCTGACACCGATTAAATCACGGGCGAGTAAGAGGAACCTCGACACAGATTGCGAAGCGGAAGATTTGGGCTTGTACATGCGGCCTATTAACGAGTCGTTATCTACGTGCGATCAACTTCCGGAGCGCACTACGCAACAAGAGAACGAACAGGGCGGTCGCTCAGACGATGTGAGGCCCAGTTTCCGCTCAAAGTCGATGCGAGTCAAGAGCGAAGGAAGAACGCCTTTACGCGCCTACCTCGACTCCGCGCATATTGACGGTAATGCGTTCAACGCCGTAACCGTTACCCAACCGAAGAGGAATCTCTCACCGAGCGAGCAGCTAACTTTGATGCAGTACGACATGTTCAATGGCAAACGAAACCCAACGCCGCCAGTCAACGGACTCCGGGCGGATCCGGGAACGGACAGTGAACAATATCGGACTACGAACGGTGCTTTGAAAGAAATCAAACGTGAGAAATACGGGAAGCTTTACAACACTGTGAGGGTGAAAAGTGACGATCGATACGATAGGTATAACGAAATCATGTCATTCGCTCAGCCGAAGGACCGTATAAGTGAGGAGCGAGTGACTAGTACCAACGGCGCGTATCCCAGGAGTGCCAAAAGCTCGTCCAGCGGTTCCGACTCGGATTTCTCTATACCGCGTCCTAAGTTAATTGTGCCTGTCCACACATACGGGACCAGGAAAAGGAGGACTGGCAACCTTTGTCAGCGCGACAGCAATGCTACAGAGTCCACGCTTGACGCAGGCGTGTTGCTTGACGTCACACGCTTGGAAGACTCGAGCAATAATTCTCCCGCAAATGAAGATACAGGTAAAACATTAAGTTACCGATTTATATACTTGTCAAATTATTGTATGTTCATTTCTGTGTTATACGAAATGTACAGCTGACGCCCATGAAACCATTTTATCGTGCGTATTTTATCAGATTATTGTGATCTTTTGCGTTTGCTGATGTTGATCGATGCTTGCATATCTAGCGAGACAATTTCGAGGTTGTCGTACGTTTACGTAATGCGCGTCGTAATACAGGAAAATATTGCAATAGGCTTTTACAGCGACCTAAAAATAGGACAAGTTTCTTTCCTACTAGTCTATGAGAAATTTATACTTCTTGCAGTGGTGTATTCTTAACTTAGGTTATCTAACCATTTTATTATTAGACTCATGTTTTAAGGTGTAAAGATTGTAAAAACATAGATAATCATTTTGTTCAAGATATTTACATTTATATATTTAATTTAAAGATGCCTACAAGGCCTACCAAAATAATGTACGCAGACATATTATTACAATAGAAATGTTTTGTGTTGGCACATATCAACTTCTATTATTGCAACCTTTGTTTTCTCGGACAAACATCTAACGCGCGTCATTCGATTCGTAATATAACGTTTAATTGTACAGTAGTCAAGCAAAGTGATTCTTGGTAATCGTTCCCGCAATTATGACATGCGTGTTCAAGATTGAACAGATCAGATGCCTTGAATAGGTACAGTGTTTACCAATGCAATATATTTTGCGAATATTGATCGGTGCAATGATGAACCATAAAAAGATGTAATAAAGTTGAAATTCCCTCAGTTGTTAACTTTGCACGTGGCTTTTACCCCCATTTATCACCCATTTAAAATTGCACACCCAGTGTATCGATTAAACCATATTTTATGGTTTCGACCTACTTTTGAGTAAGTTGATCACGAACGTTGCTATAAAAGCTATAATATCTTTGTCTTAACATTTTGCTTATAATTGGTCATGGTGACGTTTATAGTCCTAACATTCGTGAAGAAGTATATAATTCTTTATTATTTTTTATGGAGAAATAAAACGATAAATATTATTCCGTTCTTATTTTTTAAAACAAAGGTTACATTTTCGTTACTTACAATTTAAAGATACTTGCTGTATGAATGTATACACAAGCTGTGCAAATAACTCAGTTTGTATTATTTATTGCGTCAATACGAGAAAATTAAATATAGTAAAAAATTAAACAATAACAGAGAATGTAAGCCAATACGAGCGTTGATAACGTGAATTTCTACATATTAGATTAAAATGGAAATAATGGGAAAATTTCAACAAAACAACTGCCTTTGTTGAAATTATTTACAACACTAACATGCTCTGAGTATTCTATATTACGTTTCCATTCAATAATTTTTCTATTATCAGATTATTATCGGCCTCAAGTAACATTGTCCCAAGCGCAGTCTTTAACACCGAACGCCACCATGATCGAATTTAACACCAGTTAAGTGTGATTGACGTTTCTGCGGCCGATGTAGTCAGGTTTGACGCGATCGTGAAATCAGGGCGCGTATTTGAACTTACGACCTGAAACGATGAGCGTTCGGTTTGCAACTGGGCCCTTGAAACACTTTCGTTCGCCGCATCGGTGAATAAATTACACCGGTTTTGCAAACTGTAATCGTTCGGTATCGACATGTCCTGTCCAAGTGTTCCATTTTGTTTAAACTGTAGACATGTTAATGTTTTCGAGTACGAAGCAAAATGTTGACACGTCTCAAGTTTTTGGAAGTGTGGTCTTCATATGTATCATTAAAAGTGTTTTTGTATATTAAACGATGATTAATGAGAATGTTCTCTTTAGGTCTTGTTTATTTTAAATCGGCTACCACGTCAGATTTGGCTAACATCATATCATCATAACTATCTAATGATAACTTGCTTTTTGTTAATTAAAAAAAAAAACAGTTACTGACTTTTTTATTCAAAGACAATGTAACAGGGTAATAACTGTTAAGAAAAACGTCACATAACGTCTCTTGATTTCACTTTTAAGTGTGAAACTATATATTTGTCATTATGTTAGAAATTGAGTTGGAAATGTTGGCGCTTGGTTGTACAGTGGTATGGCAGTTTGGCACATAATACCTTAAGTTATTTTAAGTGTTGACGCATCATGAGGTCAACGGTGAATGAGAGCATATTTTCGAAATATTCATTGAACAATACATTTCGGAAATATGAGCAGCCTCCCCTATCCGCTGTGGTGTTCGAATTGATTCAATTCAAATTTATAACAATTTACATCAATTCAGTATCTTTGTATTTACCATCTTAGTTCAGTACCATCTGAACATTAAACCGACAAATCAGTAATGTTATATACGTTTAATTTTTTATAACGCGCCGATATCGCAAACGACAATAAGCCGCAACTAAAACTGGCAATTATGTTGGTTTAAGCTTCTAGCACAGAACCGAACTGAATTTTTTTATTAATTATTTAGGGGGGGGGGGGGGGTGCAGGAAGTGGAAATCAGTAAAAGGTTCTTTTGTACTAAAATGAACTGATCCAATTCAATCGACAGTCATATGATATCATCGTATTCGTAACCTTGTCTGTATGAAATGGTCGCATATCACGTCACTCTACTTTGATATACTCAAAACGTAGGAGTTTCACAAATAAAGCATATTCATTTGTTAATTCGAATGTCTGCGAACTAGTTTTAATTGATTACATTTAAATAACGCATGACACTTATCTTATTTAAGATTTAATAATCAGACATAAAAATAGATTTCATTTATATCACTAATTTAAGAATTATCTCAAAATTGTCTTTGACATGAAAAGTTCCGGACTGAATACGTTTGAACCAACTCTGTGCTGACACTGAATTAGGTCCATAAACGTACCATATTTTATTTCGTGTAATAAAACGTCAACAAAGTAATAAAATATTCACCAAAATTGTTTAATATCATCACAACCAAAGAGATTTTACTACAACTTTAATACAAAAAAAATACGAGAAGATTTTCACAGCAACATGATGTACCTATAATCAGGAGATACTGCAAAATCTCAACATTTGTTGTGTTTAAAATGTGTAATTGTAACATAATACAACTTCCTTTTAGCATTTGAACAGGGACAATTCATAGGATTCATGCCCGTTTTCACCACCACCGCTTAAGTGCCACGCTTAAGACTTTATAGGTGACTCTTAAGCGGTGGTGAAAACGGGCAATAACCTTCTAAATGACATACATGCCAAATCATATCAAGTATTTTAAATAAATATGCACACATTTTGAGTATGGTCGCATAATCAATTGAACCACTAGTTCTATAATATATAAACATATAAACAAAGTGATTTTTAATCTGAGGCATTTAAAAGAAGATCATATTATGATAAAGTTTATTCTACTTGTATTAATAATTACATCCAATTTTTTTAATTGTTACAACAGCGTTAAATTTTAACGATTATTTGATCGTCTCTAACGGTGTTTTGACTGACAGTTAATTACTACCACGAAACTCGTAATTACTCTGACGACCGGACGTTAGACAAGTTACAACGGATGTGTGTTCATCTTAAGAAATTTCAATTCGATCTTTTTATATGCGAGGTATTAAATGTTTCTCACGCTGCTCAGATATTTCTCACATCTATCTGTCAAATAAACAGTCGATCGGTCGTCGCTTTCTGATATCTTTCTGATAAGTACCATCACAATGCGTCGGGAATTTTAATTATGTACCACGATCATCATTTCAGCTTGTTTTAGTCCAATGTTGGACATAGACCCCCCCCCCACAGACTGTTGATCATGATCCTGAGCCACCTGCATCCATCTAAGTAGACAATTATTTGTTACCGCAAAAACTCATATTTGGTTAAACTACTTTACGGATTCCATCGCGTTTTATTTTGATTTTAAATTCCCGAAGTTTCAAACTCTTTACAGCGTTTTGTCACGGAACAGGCTTAGAGCTCAGCAGGTAGCTCAGTAGTTTTATTTGATTTTATTATTTACTTGCTGCTGCCCGCGACTACGTCTGCGTAGAATAGGCTGAAAGCGTGACATACAGACAAAAAGACAGATATACATAAAAATATGTATATAATATATATCTTATTATGATGAATAAGCTATATTATTGTAAAGTTTCATTAAAATCCATTCAGTAGCATTTGCATGAAAGAGTAAGAAACATCCATCCATACATAAAAACTTTCGCCTTTATAATATTAGTAAGGATTTTATGTATAGAATTCGCGTAAATACTAAAAAGTCTTTATCTAACTCATATTGTTAAGTCGAAATGAGTGAAAATCCGAACGCGAACGGAGCAGACAGTGAAAGTGAGAAAGCGCAAGTGTCAGAACACATAAATATCAGAACGTAAGAGTCGGTCATAAAAAGTGCAAATTTACGAATGCCCAAAGAATGCAATCAAATTTGAAATCGTTGCAGCCTTGGTTTAGATAAAGCATGTTAATGTTCCTGAAATTTTCGTTTTATGGATTTTGTGACGGAATATTCCATTCTAATTACTTTTTTTTTGTTCACGGTTTTAATTTGAGGGTTAAAATCAATTCATCAGAAATGCGATTTCTTACAGAATGAAAAGTAACTTATTATTTTTATCCACCCACAACCAGTCTACAAATATTTATTTTGGTCAAATGTTTCGCTTCGTAAACTTACCTAGCGAATATTTTAGCATTGATAACATTAGTAGTAAAGTAAGATTGAAATATTTATATGGGTTACTTACAATAGTGCTTCACTGAACATGGCATGACAAACCAAGTGTTGATGTCTACCTGTTTTTGGTAATGGGGGGGAAAATCTGCAAAAGATGGGGTTTCTTTTGGAGATCTTGGATGATGTCCACCTCTTTTACTTTGGTATCGGGGGGAAATCTTCAAAAGATCCTTTGGAGTCCACCCCCCCCCCCCCCCCCCGTAATTTCTCACATGTCAGGGTCATGTGGGGTTCGTACTCATACTTAATACCCCTCGGTGGCCACATTTTGTACGTTTGAAGTAGAGTCGGGATCTCTCCTACGGAACGCACCGGTGTCGATAGTGCGCATGAGCACGCCTCGGAGAAGGAACCTCCCCCTATTCCCTCACCGTCTTGCAATATCTCGAGGCCACTCCGTACTGCTACCACGATACGTCAAGAAGGATACGTTATCCCTGTTGATGTCTATCTAGCCGATTTAAATGCAGTTTTGATGAACCGGATCCGAAACCGAGCATGTTTGCTCTCTGCGTACACAGGAGTTGACAGTAAAATGTGAATTTTATTTTATCGACTTTTGTGTTTTTTTTATTTCAGCTTCCTTTACACATATAAATTATTAATACAAGCTGTTTTTTTTATTTTGATACTCGCCTTCAATTACTCGCAGTGTTCGGGTGCGAAGACCTTTAGATAAAAACATACAGTTTTGTGAGCAGCTTGCGTATTTAAGGTTATTTTTTTATTTATTGCAGAGGGCAGAGTCGAGGTGTCGCGCGAGAACAAATACCTCAGCACCATGGCGCCGGGTAAGGTGTTCGGGGAGCTCGCCATATTGTACAACTGCAAGAGGACTGCAACAATCAAGGCTGCCACCGACTGCAGGCTGTGGGCTATCGAGCGGCAATGCTTCCAGACCATCATGATGCGGACTGGCCTGATACGCCAAGCTGAGTACACCGACTTCCTTAAGAGGTGGGTTTTTTTTGTTTACGATGTTTTTTTATCTGAGAAGGTGGCAAGAGCGGGCGGTATATCTGATGTTAAGTGATAATCGCTGCCCATTGATATTTGCAATACCCGTAGTTGCAGATGCGTTGCCACTTTTTAATAAAGCGAGCCCCGGCTACCTCACTCACCAGACGAAGCACAGAAGTGCAACCATGAAACACGTCGTCGTGCAACAGAGAAAACTGTTGCGTGGCCCTACCACAGTTAAAAACCATAGAGATGTCCATGTAATTCGAAACCGTCATTGACATCCATCTAAGTGTTGGCTCTAGAGAAGTGCACGTAATTCGACAAACACCTAATTCACAGAATCGCAGATGCATTTCCGACCTACAACCGTGTTTGGTTATCTCACCAGACGGATCGCAAGCATATGAATACATGCGCTGATCTTCCATGAGACCGTGGTACTTCCCCGGTCAAAATTGCTAATTCGTTTAGCAGCTGAAGCTACTGAATGCCCAACGAGGTTTATTATCACCCACCAAAGCGGGATTAGGAACACCCAACTCGTCCGGTGATTTGAATTAATCTTCGAAATAGATTAGAACGTATCTGTCCATTACTAGGGATTTCGAAATTTAAAAGATATAGAGCACTGAAACCGGTCCGGCTACTTGCGGGCTAGTTTTTCTACAGCACTCGTGATGCATATCACGTCTATTCAATGTTAATCGATTGAAATGATAGGAATTACGGTCGACGGAGTGAGGACGCCGCTTTTCCTTGCGCTGCGCCCGATAGTGTTACAAAGCCTCGTAAGACGTATTTAATTATAGGCGAGACAAGTTGGGTGCTATTTTACGCTTTACTGAACCGGATGTTTCACGAACGCGCCAGGCTTGGTACCGGCGGCAGCTTGCGCGTGCAACTGCAATTCTGTGAAGTTTGAAATGTCGAAATTTTTAAACGTTTTAATAGAAATAGTCTATGCATTCAATTCCCAACTTCAATAAGAAGTTAGTGACTTTTGGAATGGAGATGGAACAAAGGTTTATTTTTAATATGAATAGATTATTCGTCAAAGGTTATTTTTTATAAAATGTTCATTAATTGCACATTTAATGTAATTAAATCTACATTTAAGTATTTATAAATTGTTCTGCACTTGTTTCTCACAAAATTTTTGTTTCTTTTATGTAATCATTATTGGTTGGTTACGCAATAAATTAATTCCGCTGCAAATCATATTAAAGCCTTTGCTGCTGCTCTAAAATCGCCGTGATCAAGAAATGAATTGTATTACTGATAAGAGAAATTTCACACCCATTTCTCTGTGTTTACGTTGTTAACATTGGGGTATCAAAGCGTTTTGATACGCTATAAGTACGAATAATGCAAAACAATACCCAACATATTCTATAGCGGTCATCGACCCAAGTTTGGTTCCAAGGTTCAGTTCTTGGCAACAAATTATACGATGTTTAAATCGTTGGCTATCGTGGCCCTTTTGGAAACATAAATAATGACGCCGTTAACAAACTCGCATAGATGATATCATCAGCTAACAAGCAGACAATGTCGCAGAAGACCGAAATTTATTATGACCAAACCGCATACTTCGTTCATTGGATAATTTTTCAAATTCCTCTGTCATTACTCCATATAACTCTTTTTTAATGACTCACGTATATAAGATTTTGTTTATTGATAACGGTAAAGAAACGAAATTAAATCCATTTTTTTAAAGATAGATAATATTTAACTTTATAACAACGTCACTTGTAAACAATATACTGCTTCTGATTCAGTGTCATCCGCCAACGTTTCTTTGTTGAAACTGACGCTACAAAAAGATGTTCAGAAAAATCTACACGAGTCAATCTGTGGTTCGACACGCGTGTCTTGTGGTAATTGTTGTTGTCACGACTTTGCGCTGTGATCTTCAATCTATAAAGATAAAAGCGAAATAATTCTACCAATGTAAGGTAAAAAAATATATACCTATAGCAGACAGTATTACGAAATCGAAAAGGTAAAGATAAACTTTGTCAGACGGAGATACAGTATGTGATTGTTAACTTAACATTCTTGTTAATTTAACAACTTTTATATTTAACTAGCTGACTCGGCAAACGTTGTTTTGCCGAGTCAGCTAGTTTACTAAATTATTTATTGAAAAAGAATTTTTCGGAACGCACCCATAAAATGTTTGACAGGTATGAACAGTTTGTATGGGAAAATAAAATTGTTGCTATTTCGATTTTCCATGCAAATTTTCTATAATTTCTCATCGTTGAAACCTTCCCTGAACTGCCACAAATATTTCAAAACCAAAATTTGCCAAATTGGTCCAGCCTTTCTCGAGTTTTAGCGAGACTAACGAACAGCAATTCATTTTTATATATAAGATTGCATATCAATTAATTGAAAAAACCTTAAACATGTTCCTCAATATAACGAGATAAACAAGATTGTCTGGTGCCCTAGTTTGCGTGATCATCGCTTTATTTTGACATTTTAATTCACACGCGCGTTATATAAACACATGGTAATGTTGTTGACACCATGTTTGTTTTACATGCGTATAGAGCGTGGAGCCATCTGAGAAAGTGATTCTAACATATGCAAGCGTTATATTTCATTTGATGTTCACAACAAATAAAACAAATATTTATGTAATTTTAAACGATATAAGTAATGAAAATAATTGTTGCTGTTTATTATAGTATATATTATTTATCTTTGTTTATTATCTTATCCTTTAAACGAGCAATTCTTGTATATAAATATATATATAATCTTATCCTTTAAACGAGCAATTCTTGTATATAAATATATATATAATTGGAATCTCGGAAACGGCTCCAGCGATTTTCATGAAATTTAGTATGTGCGTAGATTCGGGGGCGAAAAATCGATCTGACTAGGTTTCATTTTTAGAAAATATCCTTTTATCCCTGTTTTCAGGGAATGAAAAATATAATTCGAATATGACGGTAAATTTCGCCGAACGAGAAAATGTCATAATAGCTCGGTCGGTAATCGGGCGGCCTGAAAACAGACAGCCGTGGTTCGCGTCACGATCATTTACACATTTATTTTTTTACTTTTTTTTCAATTCCAGATCATTGCTTTCTTTATTTTTAATTTTTTGTTGATTTGTTATTTTGTTATTTTTTTCCCTTTTTATTTTAAAGTTCTTTCTTTTGTGAAAAACATCAGTTCATATTTTCTTATTATTACGTCGGTAAGATCGAAAAATATTATGCATATTTCATTACTCAGTAATTTGTATCTAAATGTAATTTCCAAAATACACGATTTACCAAAAAAAAAAAAAAAAACCGAGCAAAGCTCGGTCCTCCGGGTACTAAATGTTATAAAGCACGATTTCGTCGTTTGGAACTTGTTTTGTTAAATCATAATTATAATTATGACGATGTATGAAGTATTGTCTATTTAGGACGTTTTGCTAATGCTGTGACTTCTCGTTAGTTAATCGTTTTTATTTTACTATTTATGCTACCTACGATGTTTGTTTTGTACATTGACATATACACAGCCGTAAGACGTCCACCGTTGAATATAGGCCTATAAGGGGGAGAACGCCGCAACGAACGACACTTTGCCATTTGCATACAATATTAAATAATACAAATTAACAGTGTTAATTAGAAACCTGTAGGACACGTGCATGTTTTAAAAATATAAATTTGTATTTTACAAGCTAAGATACCGCACGGTAACATCTGTTAGCTTTCCTTATTCCAAATTGAATTCAACTCTCCTAAAATCGTCGCTTCTTAGAGAGAAAACGAAGATTTCCGTATTATTCATATTATTGAGATTTTGATTTATATTGCACGACACCATCCATCGGTATGGATTCCTAGGTCGATTCGCTTTTGTAGGTAGAGCTCATGGCGCGTAGAGCTGTACGGGAGATGCGGATGACAATCAGGGTATTGAACCCGACCACTTATGCAAATGCAGGGGACGGGCAAGGGTCTATTCTTCTGCTTTAATCCCGCGGGCGAACGACCCTCACCACAATGAAAGCACGTATGGTTTAATCGCATGTCTATTGTACTGAAGTCTGTTATTTAAGTATCTGAAATTTTCGCTCAAAGGACGAGGAGCGCCGGCTTCTACAACTTTTAAGCTTTTAGTATATACTGTTAACTCATTCAATATTTGTGTTCGGTGTCAACGAACTGTCCCATGTAAACACGCCTAAGTTATGTAAAAACTATTCATGGAAACACAAAAAAGTACTCAAAGAAACATATTTCAATGTACCATATTTGGATTAGGAATCACGAATACTACTTTGGTTATAATTCAATTGACCTATGTCGAAATAACAGATAAACCACATTTATTTCTAAAGTGCCTGTTGACATATTGGGATGAGGTAAACACTAATAATGAGTCACGTAATTTTAGTTCGTAAATGAATAAAAGTTAAATGTAAGACTACATAAACTCTGAATCTGCATTATAGTAACTTAAGAAGGTCCGTTGAATTCTCAAAAGTATCAAGTTGCGACCTCCATGCTATGGAAACCTTACCAGCGCTAGTACTGTGGGGTCCTTATTCAGCGATTAAGGGAGTAATATTACCATTCTTCTATTCAAACTTTACTTGAATCTTCTTTTAGATAATTTATTTACCACCTTCCTGAGACCAGTTACCTGTTATATGGGCTAATTTCCAACACAAAAATGGCATATCAATAAAATACCGACTGAAAGCAGGTATTTAGAAATGATTAAATTTCAATCAGTACATAGTATAAAACAAAGTCGTCCCGCTTTATGTCTGTCCCTATGTATGCTTAGATCTTGAGGCGGTTTTTTACTAGATACTCTGATTCAAGAGGAAGGTCTATATATAAAATACATTGCACCCGTGCGATGCCGGAGCGGGTCGCTAGTAAAATAATAAAACAAGTATTTAAAAAAAAAATTGGCACGTTGCGAGAAGATTCGTAAACATGTAAAATCACGGACACAAAATACACGCAAAAACCCAGAATTAACAATTTATGGAGCTCCCAAATATTAAACCCCTATGTAAAACTCCCCTGTGTAACCGACCACAATTAAAATGAAAAAAAAAAAATCTACATTTTGACATTAAATGTCGTGACTGTCCGTGGGGAAGACCTATATTCGGCAGGTGTCTATAACAGACTGATATGATGACGATGTTGAAATTAAAAGTAATACAAGTAAAGAAACTGTACAACGTAGCCTACCGCAATAACACTTAGCCGTGCTCCGATTACTAAGCCTTATTTAATTTTTCTCTGAAACAAAGTCACTGATGAAATTCCATCGCCGTACACTTGCTCAAGAGGTGCTTTGCGAAACGCGTGGTTGGGCCGTCGCGTGGATCGTGACATTACAATTCGCTGGCCTTTCACTGTGCAGATGCGTCACCGGGAATACATCCTTTATCAGACGCGTAGGACGCTGTGGAAATCGTGGTGAACTTCCTCTCGTCGCTTGCTAAAAATAACCACTCGTCGATTGTCGTCAAAGAAATGTTCATTGAACTCACTGAACTCTAATTCAGAACCACAGAGCACCCGTGAGTGAGCAGTACGAGCTTCAATGTCTTTTAACCCCGACGAGTTAAATAGACATTGATAATTCTATTCTCGTTTCAGCTGATAGGTGTTGAGGAGGCCCAGTCGTGAACCATACTCTGAGCATAAATGTTTGATAATGACTTTTGAACTAAAAAGAAACGGAAGAACGGATAGTTACTGTTACTACAAACCGCGACCTTTGATTGTACTCGTAAATCCCACGTCGCTTACTCTAGGGGGGGGGGGGGGGGGGTTCTATGCTAGAAAATTGTGTCTGTTTGTAATATTAAAATAACCACTTTTTACTAAATCCATATGGATATTTACACGGAACATATACCAAAATAACATTTTTTTACAATTTAATATAATCTGAAACGGCTGGGACGATTTTGACGGGATTTTCACTGGCAGGTAGCTGATGTTAGGCTACTTTTGATTTAGAAATTTTGCTATGCATAGCTGGTTGTATATATTTACATATCTACAATCATATCTATAGGTAGGTTCATATAACTCTTAAGTTTTTAGTTGTCTGTGTCATATGGCATAAAGCCCGATTGAGTTGCAATACACTAACAGCATTAGTGTTCAACTAACTAAATAATTTGTGTGGGCTCTGATAACGAACACAACTTATGTTAAGTAGAGTTCTTTTTTAGATAGACTCAAATCAACAACAACTACTGCGTGCAATTTTTGTACGCACACACACATATATATATATATATATATATATATATATATATATATATATATGTATAATCGGAATCTCTGAAACGGCTCCTGCGATTTTCATGAAATTTAGTATATGCGTAGATTCGGGAGCGAAAAATCGATCTAGCTAGGTTTCATTTTTAGAAAATGTTCTGTTATCCCTGTTTTCAGGGAATGTAAAATATTATTCGAATATGACAGTAAATTTCGCCGCAAAAAGAAATGTTGTAATAGCTCGGTCGGTAATCGGGCGGCCCCAAAACATACGGCCGCGGTTTGTATCACGATCATTTACACACTTATTTTTTTACTTTTTTTTCTATACCAGATCATTTTCTTTATTTTTTATTTTTTTTATTTCCAAAATACATGATTTACCCAAAAAAAAAAGACCCAGGTGCTATATATATATATATATATATATATATATATATATATATATATATATATGAATAACTCACATCCATTTTTCTTCAAATTGTAATAAGACTTGTTGTTGCACGGTCTGAGCCTGCATTTCACAATCGCCCAGTCTATATAATATGACAGTTGCTCGGTGATCCGATTCGGTATATATGATGTGAACGACCCTTAATATGACCGGTTCGTTGACTAATAAGTCATACCTAATGAGTTATAAACATAACATAGTCATTACCATCACTAAAAACAGTGCTGGTATTACGGTTAACATACACGTTTAACATTTTGTAGACCATGAATATTTTCGGGTGAAACCTGTCAATGTTATCTTAAATGTCACAATTATCAACTTATTTTTCTAGATACCAATAAAAGTGTATCACACAAATTTACACATATAATCAAAATATATCCATAAAGTTAATTAAAACGTTAATTTAGTTATAGTGAATATTGCTTACAGATTAAGAACGTCTATTTTTCTTAGATGATCCAGGTTTATAGACATAGGTTGTAATTTGAAACAAATAAAGACTCAAGTTGTCTCGCGACAAACTCCGTAATAATGATTTCCTAAGCACTGCTCCAAATTAATTAAAACAAAAACAAAAAATAATTCTCTAGCAAAAGTTTAGTTGATTTTATTTTTAATTCTGCTATAGTTTGCCGAAAAAACCCGCTGACCATGAAAGAGTAACGTTGTAGCCATTTACATTTGCGCACGCTATGACGAACGGTTAAACGCACTCTATGTACTGGAACTTATCCATGTGTATGATATATCTGCGCATAAATGGGTACATCTTTGGAGAAATATTTACTTAATTACCAATATATTATTATTATTATTATTAATAATAAGATTTAATCTTGTAAATATTAGATCGAGAATAGAATGCCAATTTTTTCTTAATTATTATATCAATATTATCAACACACTAGGCGAAAAGTAAAAGCTGGTAGTATATAACATATTGTACACATCAGTAGAATTATTAATTAATAAATATACCAAATTTTTTTTGGCCTTTGGTGATCGTTCGGTGATGGTCTCTTGACCGTTATGCTATGATTTTAAAGCTTATTCTTGAAGGTCATAGAGCCAATTTGACATTTTTAAATTCTTTGGAGACATGCGTGACACTGAGAGTATGAACGTATACACGTACATTTACTATTTTTTTTATTTTACAAGTATTTGTAACAGACTTTTAAAATAAATTTTAGCTTCTTCTTATATACACTATAACAATGCCAAATCTTATTATTAATAATAATAATAATAATATATTGGTAATTTTTAGTTACAATCAGATCGGTTTGATCGGTACCGGTCATTTGGCTTGATAGTGGCTAAAATGCTATTGTGTGCTCAGCATAATTTTAACTAAAAGTCAGGGTGTATATAAAGCACATAAAATATACCAAAGCAGTGTTAATTATTTGGTGTAATATTTTGAAGTAGTATAATACAATTAAGAATTAAGTAACATTCGCTGTCCAAATGCACTTACTTGACTGATCAACTGACCTTTAATTGTTCGAATTGCCTTATTTATGTTTATGTCGTCGAGTTATCCAGGAAGTCTTAAAATGTTAGCGACTTATTATAATAAAATTAACATTCACTTTTACGGTGGCCTGATATATCAATTATTTGTCGAAAGGTCTAATAGAGGTTATAACTGAAGATTTAAATATTTAACATACTCTCTTATGTTTGAAATACATGATAATATGAGTACTAATAGTCTTTATTAAGTCATTAAATACATTATATTTAATATTCTATTATTACGGCTTTAAAGTTTTCTATTACTATTGATTGACTTTTAAGAGATCGAATGTGGGGCTGCTTTCATGTGTATAAACAGTCAGTCCATCATTATGATCTTTATCATAACAAATATAGCGAAATGGCAATTTTAAACTTCTTCCCACATGAGAGATTGTATTGATTTTGCTATAATTTCGCCTTTTGTCCTCAGCGTTCCAATATTCAAAAATCTGCCTGAAGATACCCTGATAAAGATATCGGATGTACTGGAAGAAACACATTACCAAAACGGCGATTACATCATCAGACAAGGAGCGCGTGGTGATACCTTCTTCATCATCTCTAAGGGACAGGTAAGTTATTTGCGATTTTAGTCTTACCTTCTATTTTCAAACGTTCATGACATTGTTTTATAAGAGTTAATTCTGGTTTCAATTACTTTATTCGTTGAAAAAAAAAATATTCGTTTTGTAAAAACTGAATAAGTGTACTGAATAGTGCAATCTGTGATCATAAGCCTAAGGTTGTGGGCTCGATCTCCATCACTGCAAAATATGTATTGTGTGTTGAACATAACTTTCATTGTATTAAATAGATTGTCGATTCACGCCTCGAATGACAACAAAGCCACCAATAAAATATCCGAAGAATCCATAGTTAACATTAACTAATTGATTAGATTGTCGTGGATTTTTTAATCGCAATATAATGTACTTGATGTTGCATTTTAACTATTTAAATAATAAATAAATTAGTTATAAGTAAATTACAGTTTCGACGTGTTTCGGGTCGAGGTTAACAATTTTTATATCGGCTATCGGAGTTAACGATTGAATATATGGGAATGTCTATTCCCTCATTACGTATCTCATAAATAATGTATAAATGTAAAATTCGTAGTAAGACGAATTTTCTCAAATTAACATAACCATAAACTCTTCCGCACTAATGGCTTTTTTACGACACAAAACAAAAAATGTACATTTTTTAATGACGACCACAACAAAATCATTACATAGCTATCATCATTTGTCATCATAGCGGCCATTCCGATCAGATTGTCCGGCAATATCGCATCTTGACGACGGCGTGTTTGTGACACGTCTGCCGAGCGCGATGCTCGTTATTAAACATGAAAGTTTACAAAATTTCACTTTTCTTAGCGCCGGATAAACTTTCGTCGGCATAAAACACGCCTCTATGTTTAGCGAGCACCTCTCTCCGTTCCGCTACTTCCGTGACATAAACTTGTAACATGTTTTTTGTTAGTTTTTTTATTCAGTTCTTTTGATATTTGTACGTTCGTAACTAGCTATACGATAGTAGCTAACCAACACGTGGTCTGGCGCATACGGATCTCGAAGATATGCTTAAAGGAGTTTCAACTTTTCGATTTTTTACATGTCATGGAAAAGTTGCTATTTACTCTTGTGCCATGTTCGCTTGCTGTTAGGATTTCTTCGTCTAGGACTTTCTTCGATTACCGCATTTTTACTGGATTAAGTCGTACATATCGTATTATTCTACTTAACAACAGTCCGTTTACATATTTCGAAAGATTAAGCCTATCTTCTCTCACGCGCTATGCAATTAGTGTTAATCTCCGAAGGTGAAGATCAAACCAATCAAGTTCCCATGGCCTGCAACTTTTACTTCACACGAGGTACTTTTATTCGATTTATAACTTAAATGACCCACAGATAAACATAACATTTGCACTTATTGTTCCGGCAAATGTACAGTGACTGTACGACCGGTTCACCTTGGCATTTGAATCAAGCTGCTCGTGTTTCTGCACTGTGGTTGGCGTTTTGGCCAAATCGGATTTGTTTACTATTCCGAAAACGGTTTATTGTTACTTCATTTGTTGGCTAGTTTATTGTTGGCTTCATTAAGCGGCGAATTCTAGCAAATAAGTCGGATCGAAAAGCTCGAGTGGGTTGTAGACCAACACGAAAACCAAATTTAGTTTCTGCGCTTGCAAAATGAAAAATTGTTATTCATCTGCTATGCGGATTTTTATTTAATACTCATAGTTTAAATTTCCTTCAACATTTTAAGCCTTGTCAGCAATGTTTGCGTTACTGCTTAAAGGCTGTTAACACTAGGCCGTATTTTAAAAATGTAGACATCATTGCATTTGCAACTCTACTGTGAACGTGTTAATGCGAAAAGATACTTGTGTAATTGATTTTAAAACTTAGTCGAGGTAATGAGGATAGTAATTATTAATTTGATTATATTTAGGAACTATAAATCTCTCCACCATTCCGTTGAAGAAGGTACTAGAAATATGACCTAACGACTAAACGATATATTCCAATGATATTATATACAAATACGAGGTAGAAATGATACTAGCGCACCGAAACTGAGGCACTAAAATTACTCCAATTGGTGTAATTGTATTGCAATTCTATAGACTGCTATCCCTGTCTGTATCATACGTTCTATATCATCTGTCAAATTCACTTATATATGTCATATAATGTAGATCGGAACAATTTTTGAACGCGGCTCAGTGGGCCCGCGTCATCTTTACTAAAACATCATTGATTATTCGCACGGCGATCTGATTTGTTGGTAAACTTTCTACTGTCAATTTATTGTGTCACACATATCGCGAATGCGTAATGCCGCGACATTTGTGCAAACATGGGCGGTTATTCGATGCGGATCGGGCGTGTGACTAAAATTTCAAACGAGCGCCTGAGAGGCTGCACGGCCAGAGTCCATTGTGGCCATAAGGTCAAAGCACGCGAGCGACGGGCTGTGCCATTGCACACAACGCTGAGGCCACAGTTTTAGTTGCGTCCGTGTGAGAAATTGTCTACCTTGGGACGCGTCATTACGTATCTCACATTATTACGTATGTTCGTATTATGCGTAAAACAATTGAGCTGTAATAGTATCCAATGTAATATTTAAATTGGATGTTATGCCAGATTTCGCTCGATAACCACGTGTGTCGTTGAAATTTTTAAAAGTTACGCCTTTTACTATAGTTACTTATCAATAATGGAAAACGTTCCGTTCCTCGCTTACGTGAAAACAATATATGCGACGTCAAATACCGGAGGCTGTCAAATATAAATAAGAATCGTTAACCGTTAAAGTATTCCTTTTTTGTGGGAAAACTTGGGAAGCGAACAGGCGGTTCACCTGATATTAAGCGCCCCTCTACAACAACCTGAGGGGCTTTAAAAATGCGTTGCGAACCATTAAAAGTGGGCCCCAGTTATCTCACTCACCAGACCAAACGCGAAAGTTAATACTTCCACTTCTTGTCGATATTTTGTTAGGCCGTGTTACGTTCTACGTTAAACGTTCCACAGTAAACGAGTTCAAAATCGTAATCACGGTATAATAATGAACAATATAATGTTTATACCAAATAGGTCAATTATTTGATATCTAGTTCAGTTACATAACTCGCCTAGAATGTCTAGGTAGTGTTAATTGTTGAATATCCAACAGAGCGTTCAATTGGCCGTGTTTTCCTATTGACTTTACAAGTTATTCTTGTTTTAAAAACAATTATCGATACACCGTTCTACTATTTAAGGTATGATGAAATTGCTTGTTATGTTTGCTTCGGTTTCTTAATTTATTTATTTGTTCATTGCGTATGGCTCGTAATTAAGGTAGTCTTGCTTATCTGAGTTTGGAACATATTCATACGGGCCAAAGAAAATTAATTTGATAATTTACGAGGAGAAATCGCAGAGTTGCAAAATCGTTGAGATTTCTACAATGCGTTTAACGTTCGACATGTCGGTGGATTTTGTGTATACCTAACTGTATTGAAAGGAAAGTGAACGATTCCAATTTCCTTCGGTGACTTGTTCTGGTGTAACTGTCGTACGATTTCGTCGTTTTTACCGTCGTCATGTAGTTTAAGTAACTCCGTCTATCGCTTCAAGCAACGAACGCTATCTCGGACACTTCCGTTGTTATCTCACCGATGTTTTTAGATTTGCCCTTTTTTACGGCCTCGTCTTATTTGGCTTGGGCGCAGTTCCAGGGATTATTATTTGCTTAGGGTTAAACTTCTTTCCTCTTGAGCATTTCTGCTCCAGTGTTTATATTAGACCTTTGTAAATTCATTCGATGAAGCATTTGCTGTTGGCTTTAACTTCGAGTTGAACTCGACGTCTTATATTATCTGCGGGCTTAAAGATACATAAATTATATAGTACTATAAAGTTGTTAATTCTTAATAAATAAACATGAGAAATCATTATTCGATAACGTCATTCTTTATCGTCTCGTTTGCCAGCAACATGCTTCCCTTAATGCTATTAATACTAAAAATTAGAAAACATCATCATTTTCGTTTTCCTGAATAGCATACAAGAGAAAGTTGAGGTTATTACGATATTAAAGACACTGAAATAACGTTGAGAAATGTTAATTGCGTTATCAAACGTGTCGGCCTAACGTACGGAAGGAACGGGCTCGTATAATGTCTTAAGTTTTTACCACGATGTTTGGCTTAGCTTGTAATAACTAGTAGAGGAATGCGAAACGATATGTTCCCTACCCCATTTCCTTCTCGTAGTCCGCATTGCTGTATGTTGTTCAGCTCACGGAAAGAGTAAAATCAAATTCAAAAGCCAAGTGTTGGTTAGTAAAAACTAACCAACACTTGGCTTTTGAATTTGGTCGCTCTTTTTAAAAACATAAGTACTCGTATTTTTCGTTTTCTTCAATAGTAACCTAGTCAATATTATTAGATATTTTGAATTATCCCCTATACCCTATTATTTAAGAATTAGTTTATTTTGTGAGATTATTCTTAACATTTACAATATACCTGCACCCCAGGCATCAAATTTTACTTCGGTCTGTTGTGTTTATTATTTGCTATAAAGATTGCGTGCGGTCTTATTTGCTCATATTATCTATACCTCTCATCTACATTATGAAAGTTTTAAAGTCCAACTTCATGAACTATTATATTTATAAGACAATGCACAGTTTTAATGATGAAACCTTTAAAGCTTTAGTGATTAAAATTTAAGATTAGACATGAAAAATTGTACAGTCCATACAACAATATGGAATGTTTATTCGTTATTACCCAACGATCATTGTATTTCTTACCCATGCTAACACATTAATTGCACAGAGCATATTAAGTGTTATGTTTCGCAACATATCGTAATAATAATTCACAGCTGTTTAACCATATGTATGGAAAGTTATAGCCTATTAGAATCTTAAACATCTTTAAGAAATAACCTTGAGTTAACTTTATAGGCCTTACCTATTTTATATATGCATGGTATACATTATGTTGCGCAAAATAATTCAAAAAATTATTTAGTATAGCAGTAAAAAAGTAGTACCTATCTCTGTAAAATTTCTATACACGGAATCATATAAAATATAATATTATGAAACTATTCACAGTAACAAGTTATAAAGTTAATACGATTTAGCATAAACATTTTTTACGCCAAGTTTAATTTAACCACTAAATTACTGCCGCGTTGAACGCTTTGAGGTTTCCATGGCCAATCCCTTCTTTACCTACTTAATACGATATATAAACGATAATTAATCGTTATTCAGGGTAACTTAGGTACACTAGCACGGTACACCGTGTACATAATAAAATGCATAAAATAAGGAACATAAAACTAAGAAACACATTGAAATAACCTTGTCGTCAACACTCGCAACATCCTAGAAATGGTGATAATTGTTAAACACCATTTCTAAGAAGTATAGAATTAGTAATTAGTAGAAGTTTTCGTAGCGAAAATTAAATGCAAAATCACTTGATACATTACTTAGTATATAATAAGACTAGTTTTAGGTTAAATCTTAATGCTCTGATTTTTAGATGAGGATATTTATCTAATGTGGCATCTCGTCTGCCTTATGGAAAGTGTACTCTGTAATGCCAATACGGTCGTATGCCAACTTTCTTGGTGCTTTCCCAGTTTTTCTGATACGATAAAGGCTTTGGAGAAATCTTATTTACATTTATATCCCATGCTTTTACGTTAGTAAGCTTACAGAAAGCTACTTATGGAACAGCGTTTTGCAACATGCAATTTAATACAAGATTGTCGGCAAACAGATATGTGTCCGAAACTTACAAAACAAACGCCCAGTATTAAAAGTAATATGTTGTTTTCATGTTAAATGTTACTTGAACCATACCGATTCAGGTAACATTAGTGCAAAAGTAATATGATTATTACTAACAGACGCCGTGATAAGCCGTAAGCATGAGCCGTGATTGCTCAGTGTCCGGGCGCTCGCCTTTAATTCAATATACTCGAGCAACCTGAGTTCGATCCCCGCTGCCGGCACCAATGAAGTTTTTAACTTTAAGTGCTAACTTATCACGTGTTCCGCGGTAAAGGAAAACATCGTATGAAACCTGCATATTTTCGAATTAATAACAAAAAAAAATTTCGAAGATATGTGAAGTCCGCCAATCCACAGCGGGGCCGCGTGGTGGACTATGCCCTGATACCCTCTGTATAGAGGAAGCCCTTGCCCAGCAGTGGGACATGTATAGGCTGTTTCTTTACTTTAACAGACGCAGCGAAGGTTATGTATTCTCCTTTAGCCTGCCCTTGATGGGATCGGCATAGTTAATATGTGGTATTATGTTGTAATGGAATGGGCTAGACCTTAGATCGTCTGCCTGACGTCTCAACCCTCTTTGAAAACAAATATCCATATCCGGAACAATTAGCTGTGGATCACAGTAATTCTTGTCCCGCGTGGGAGACGACCAAAGGTCCGACACCGAAGCCAATGAGTACAGCGCCATCGAGTCATCCGTCACCGAATGTTATGCATATAACGATTATTTACATTTATATTAGACGATGCATTTTTTTATTTGTGATTTTCAGGTAAAAGTAACGCAAAAGCAGCCGAACAGCAACGATGAGAAGTTCATCAGAACTCTCACAAAGGGGGATTTCTTCGGAGAAAAGGCTCTGCAGGGGTAAGCTCAAGATATTAATGTACCATAATTTAACAAATCATTATGATTGCGTGCAAATTTTATAAATAAATCTATTAAGAAGTGGCGTTCCAAATGAAATCGCGACAGCATAGTTGTTTACAAGACATCCGACGACAAATGTTTGTCGATAGATGGTTGCTATGGTTTAAAGGGACACAAGTCAAATTTACATGGCAGATAAAGATGTTTGTTGCGTTGTGTTGCATTATGTTAGTTCACCTATTCGTTAATATGTTCCAGCGATGACTTGCGAACGGCCAACATAATTTGCGATTCACCAGATGGCACCACGTGTCTGGTCATCGACCGCGAGACCTTCAACCAGCTGATCTCGACCCTTGATGAGATCCGAACAAAATACAAGGACGAAGGCGACAGCAGGCAGAGGTATGTACGATTTACATTACTTCCTCATATAAAGAGATTGTACATTACATAATATCCCGTTCTATGAGATGCATGATCTAATTTTATCGCGTAAGGTTTGACGGCAAACTCTTATTTAATTGTCGTAAATGTCAACTCTATAATATTTAAGAGATATGGAGAGGTGATATTACATTTACCTTGTCGCCGTATATTTATTACTAACATGTTTTCGCATTCAAACTGAATCTGATTGAATTTTAATAGCGACTGCTTCGAAGGACACTATTTAGATTATTCATAATATATACCAGCTACTTTAGAAACGCATAATGTCTTTATTATTTGAAATTAAATATATCGAATTATTTTTAAACAGTTGTATCTTTTGAGAATTATTAACAGAACCTGTTTAGAGCATTAGATGTTCATAATGAAATAGAAAATAAATGATGCCGGCTATGCTTTACTGGGATAATCTTAGTTTTGCGGACTTCAATATGTTTTATCAAGTATTTTTTGACATATATTTCACTGAAGCTCACCTAAACGACGGAACTGGGTGAAACCAGAGAAATTTATAAACTGAAGACTGATAATACGACTGAATAATCAATTCTAATTAATTAATTCCTAATGTTCGTATTCAACAGAAAACGTTGTAAGTTTTTTAATCTGATGAACTGGACTATGTCTATACATAAGATATATTACTTATCTTTAAAAAAAAATCTTTGATTATGTAATTTTAACCAACAAAACAACAAATTAACACTTAAAAAAATATCTATATTACTGTACTATACGATTGAACTATTTAATTTCCACATTCGGCCATTTTTAACGGCCTATTGACAGCGTCAGTATTTTTCCCCCTTTGTTCATAAACCACTGCGCCGTGTCGGAATATTGTCCGTCAATTTCCCCGTGTCAAGTTCACACTAAAACCGAAACTAAAACACATCCGATACGCACAACAAAAGATTCAGTTTGAACGCGACCGAAACGCCATTGTGCCACAACACTTAATTACTGTTACGAAACACCAAATTCACGTTTGGTTATACTTCAGAATTGTCACGTTTTAATCGCTTGTATTTCTCTTTGATGCATACAATGTCTCGGATCGGTTACACCACGGTAAGTTAACATTTGCATTTTGCCAATAATCTGACGTTAATTTGCCTAACCTGGAAATTTTCACACTTTCACTATCTCCTATTAATCGGCGCTCAAGTTTCGATGTTACACTGTAGTTATTATATCCGAAGGCGGTTATTAACTTTCGTCTTTGGCAAAGGTAATTTGGTTTTTTGACGAGAGCCAGAGCCGCAACAATCTTTTCCCGCGTTTTTGCTGCGCTAGTTGTGAAGTTTGTTCTGTAGAATACAATGAGACGCCATGATTGGCTATTAGACTATGAAGTCTATAAAGACAAAGGCTTTTATGATTGAAATTACTTTCGTTGATCCACTATCACTTTCCTAGATAGTTTTAAATTATTCAGCCATTTACTATAAAGCCATTAGACGTAGTAAAATAGTTTGAATCCGAATAAGATGTATGGAATAATGAAAGGAATATATAAGTAATTTTTAGATATTAAAAACATTCGCAATTACATTTAGCACTAAAACGGCACTTTCAGAGACATCATAATGATTTAATCAAATTTAATCGTTAAGATTTAAAACAAAAAGCGTTAGCCTCATTTGTCTCTGTTACTTTTTTTTAATGTGTGTAATAAAATCCAGGTGATTTCAAAAGTTCCTCCTAGTAGGTTCACGTGCAAGCAATCCTTACTAATATTATATAGGCCAAATTTTGTATGTATGGATGGATGTTTGTTACTCTTTCAAGCAAACACTACTACTGAATGGATTTTAATGAAACTTCACAATAATGTAGCTTATACATCAGAATAACACATAGGCTATATATACTTTAAGTACATATTTTTATGTACCTATATCTGTCTTTCTGTCTGAATTTTACGCCTTCAGCCTATTCTACGCAGACGTAATCGCGGGCAGCAGCTAGTAAACGATTTTTTTTTTCACAAAAGTAACTTATTTCTCTCAATCGGCAGGCTTAACGAGGAGTTTGCGAACTTGCGTCTGTCAGATCTTCGCATAATCGCGACCCTCGGAATCGGCGGGTTCGGTCGAGTGGAGCTCGTCCAAATCCAGGGCGACTCCAGCCGCTCGTTCGCCCTGAAGCAGATGAAGAAGGCGCAGATCGTTGAGACGAGGCAGCAGCAGCACATCATGTCGGAGAAGGAGATAATGTCCGAGATGAACTGCGAGTTCATAGTGAAACTGTACAAGACCTTCAAAGACCGCAAGTACTTGTATATGCTGATGGAGACGTGCCTCGGCGGCGAGCTTTGGACCATACTCAGGGATCGCGGTGAGTTTTCTAGAGGAGCTTGATATTTTCTCATAATCACGTGAACGTTGCACGTTATTTAATACATCTTTATTATACCTTTATTATGTATATATGTAAGTGAGTTATTTTTGTTTATTTTTGTTTAAACGTGAGTATATACTATATGTTAGATATATATATTACTCACTTATATAATGGAACGTTATTATTGCACCTACAACAATTTATCTTTTTCATGCAAAAGATAATTTGTTTTCTAAATAATTGACGACCCAGATTATTCAAATGAGGTCGACCCTCCCATTTTAATTTTATTGAAATTGGACCTTGGATTTCGAAGACAGAGCAATAAACTCCATATAATCGATTAGGAAATGTATAGTGAATGAGATATTTGACGTCGGTTTCGTTTTTTGTTAATTTGGTTATTAATATAGCAATTTTATATAACAATTTTTTTCTATAAATATTTATTTATTTTTCAGGTCAATTCGACGACGCCACAACCAGGTTCTACACAGCGTGTGTAGTCGAGGCTTTCCACTATTTACACTCGAGAAACATTATTTACAGGTAATTCTGACATCTTTTTTTAGAAGATAGGTTAAATGACTGCGTCATACACTGTAAACAAATATTTGAGTACAGTTGTTAGATTTATACGGAATAACGGCACCAAACTTTCAAAGCTAAAGCTTGTTTTTATTGTATTAATTTTAAGTTTTATTTAATTTTCAATGTGAGTTTAATAGATAAATTGGCGAAATATTTAAGACACGCTGGTTTTAATCTGCTTCCAGTTTGAGGTTTTTTTTAACCAATTGTACCAAGATATTCATTATTATATCGGATTAGTGATTAAAGTTTACATTGACGAGTTGCTACATAAAACTTTTTGAATTACACTGTTTTTATTAAGTTTTACCCCTAACACTAACGATTATTTAATCACAGTGCCGAAATCTGATGATAATTCATCCGCCTTAACTCTTAATCTAACACTTAATCTGATCATCCGCCTTCGATGGATGCGTTTAAAATTACCTTTTTACTGATAGTATTCCATTTTTGCTCGACAGGGACCTTAAGCCCGAGAACCTGCTGTTGGACTCCAAGGGCTACGTGAAGCTGGTAGACTTCGGGTTCTCCAAGAAACTGCAGGCCAGCCGCAAGACCTGGACCTTCTGCGGCACCCCGGAGTACGTGGCGCCCGAGGTCATCATGAACAGGGGACACGACATCAGCGCGGACTACTGGTCTCTAGGTAAGCATCATCACGTTGTAGATTGGAATTTAACAACGCTCTAGCTAAGCATTAAAAAAAATTACGTTTTTTTTCGCAATCTGCCGCCCTCAGAGGGGTTAATTAGGATTAAGAAAAGTAAAGTAGCTAAAGACTGCATTCAAAGATTCCAACTATTTTTTTACTAACGAAAAACAATAGCGACTCCATATATCTCTCTCTGTATTCATTTTATAATTGATTTTCAGGAGAGCCCTAAGTATCAAGGTTCAATACCAATGAAATTAATATGGGACCATATGGGGAGCACCAGCTTTCAAACAAAAAAAAAATCATCTAAATTCGGTTCAATCAGTCGAAAGGTAACAAACATAAAAAATACAGTCGAATTGAGAAACTCCTCCGTTTTTAAAATCGGTTGAAAAATCCAATTTAATTCAAGATAACCATGATGAGTAACCATTATGTTTAGCAACATAATATGTTATAATTTAAAACCGATTATTTTTTCGATCATTACATTTTCTATGAATTATTATTAGTATAATATGGGCGATAAATCTATCAGCTTTAAAAAAAAATATTCGTCTACGCATTTATGTTGACCTCGTGTTACTTTTCGATAAAATTAATTTTAATTTAAAAAAATACAGGCAATAACAACGTCTGGTGTTCTATTTGGGTATATTTTGGTAGATTTTATTCCTACTATAAGACTATATATATTTAAAACCTTTATGCGTTATGTAGTCCGCTTAAAATTTAATGCGCCTCTGTAAAATTGGCTTCGTAAGATGTTAGCATGTAAGTCGCGTGCAAAAATCGCTTAATATAATCATAATATATGATATATCTAAAATCTATCTAAATATAAATAATGTATGAAATATATATACATTTCATATAATATTATTTATATACATTTTTTACATATTATATGCATTACATGATAAATTCTAAAAATTATATTCACGAAACCGTATAACGACGTTGTCCGCGATTACACACTTGAGAGGGAGACACAGAGAGACTTTGGAGTGAACGAGAGAGCGCTACTCAGCACTCTATCCACGTACGTAGCGTGCCTTGTGCGATATTCACAGATGTTTTACATGGGTGGGATGTCTCCCACCCATGTCAGAGAGAGACCAACTACGGAGTGAAAGAGAGGGCGCTACTCAGCACTCTGTATCCACAAGCGTGGCCCTGTACGAATTTGACAGATGTTTCTATCCTTTTCCACCAGGCGTGCTGATGTTCGAACTGCTGACTGGCTCACCGCCGTTCACGGGCGCCGACCCTATGAAGACGTACAACAAGATATTGAAGGGGATAGACGCGGTGGAGTTCCCGCGCTGCATCACCCGCAATGCCGCCAACCTCATCAAGAAGCTGTGCAGGGACAACCCGGCGGAGCGGCTGGGATATCAGCGCGGAGGCATCACGGAGATACAGAAGCATAAGTATGTTTTTTTTTATGTCAGTTGGCAAGCGAGCTAACCAGTCACCTGATGTTAAGTGATAACCGCCGCCAATGGACATTTGCAACACCCGTAGCGTTGCAGATCCGTTTTAAATAAAGTGTGCCCCGGCTACCTCACTCACCAGACGATGCGCAGATGTATAAGTATATGTAAGTCATTTCGCTTAGTCGTTAAGGTGGTGTGGGTGCGAATCCGAAAGACGTGGTTCCCGCAGCGGTGAATATCTTTTCATATATAAATAATTTTAATATATTCCAATAGTGTTGCAATTCGCTAATGTACGAATGGTCAGGTCAGTCCGGGGAAGTACTACATACAACCTCACATTAGACCGGCGGGAAGAAGTATTATGCTTCTACATTTTGTCTGGTGAGTGAAGTAGACGGGGCTCACTTTATTAAAAGGTGGCAACGCATCTGCAACCTTACGAGTGTTGCAAATGTCTACATGAACCACTAGCTCGATTACCGTCTTAATCTTCACATAAAACACAATCCAGATGGTTCTTCGACGGACACTAACAGTATGATTTTCTTTCCAGATGGTTCGACGGCTTCAACTGGGAGGGTCTGGCGCAGCGGACGCTCGATCCGCCCATCACGCCCGTGGTGAAGTCGGCGCTCGACACCCACAACTTCGACCAGTACCCGCCCGATGCGGACGAGCCGCCGCCCGACGACCTCTCCGGCTGGGACGCCACCTTCTAACTAAACAATATCGACATCCAGTATCGACAATATAACTATCGATAGTCTCGCCGGCGGGAACGCCCCTATCGGGCTGCGACGCGTCACCAACGTCGATATGCGATATTCATCACCGCTTTATTATGTCAATGGCGTTATTGGAATACCCGGCTTATAGATGCATGATGTTACGTGATGTTTATCGATAATCCGAGCATGTGGAGACGCGAATCGACCACCGTCGTAACGTTAGTCTGATCCAGTATCGATTACCCATCCAATTGATGATAACGATTTAATATCGTTAACATCTTACCTATATCGATAAAGAAATCGATCAATCTTGTTAAGCACAAATTGTTTTAGTAATATCTCTTGGCTGGCGCAGTTGCGTTATGTATTTCATCGCCGTCCGTCGTGGGATCGATTCCTACTAGCTATAAAAATTTGTATGGCCTACAGAAATATTATAGTTAACACGAATCCTATTATTTGTCCTTGTTTCATTTATGTTTGTAAAATGGATTATCTCAACCTACATCCTGCTATACTTAAGTTATGTAAAAAATTATAATAATAACCACCAAAACTTTTACCGCCCTGAACATGTTTAGTTAATACTGCATAGTTAGAAGGATTAAAGCAGCACTATGTGTAGATTTGTTGAAAACTGTTTAAAATCTTTGTGAAACGTATTTCAAAAATTGTGCCGTAGCTTTTAGTGCGTATTATTTACATCTAAGCTCATGAAAATGGGGATGACCCAATGAACGAGATGGCGTGATGTCTCTTCCGTTGCTTTGCTATGCGATTATATTTAAAATTTAGTTGTTTAGTGAGTCAACTTGTAAAAGAAATACTGTATTTTTTATTAGTTAGTCGAAGTAAACTTAATCGAATATTTTGTTATAATGGCGTACTGCAGACTTAACCGTAATTTCTTGTGCATAATTATTTTTACATCAATTTTGTAATATAGCGTTAACGGTTATGCGAGTAACTTTTCGCATAATTATAATAAGAAAAAGTTTGATTATCCAATGAAATTGTTTTGCCTATTTCACGCAACACTGCGTACTGAATAATTTTGTCCGTAATACGCCAAAATAGTTTAAGATATAAAATTTTCTCATTTAGTTATGTTGTTTAAAGCTTAAATTATAGCAAAATGTCATGCCATTAAATTAAGTTACAGCGCTTGCCGACTTTCTTCGTTACTTAGGAATATCGTGTACATCTTCGCGCAAACATATGTCGCATATAGACATGTTTCAAAATCAAATCAAAATGATCGATACTTTTCGAACTGTTGCTCTTAAACATTGTTTTTGACATTAACTAAAGCTGTGAGTACTTTCAGATATTTTTTGTCTTTTATATCTCGTAATTAATTAATGTTGACTTATATTCTATATTAATATATTTTTATTGCATATTTCGCTACAGAATATATAGACCTTGTGGAACAGGTTCACCGAAGTACCAAATTGTCGTTACCAGAGTATCTTACACCGTATACCCTTTTAAAGTATATTAATTTTGTACATAATATTACATATGTAGAATAATTTTGCACATACTTTATGATAGTTTTTTTAATTTACTTAAACAATAAAAAAATTGCAGATCTTTCTTCCGAACGAAACGTTCATGTTAGATTTTAAATGGTATAAATTCAATATAGCGTTTCTTTTTCTTCCGAAATACGTAATAATAATATCATTTTTATTTACATATGTTCCTAAAATCATTAAAGCGACATAATTCACATCAACCGATCAGTTTTAAATCCATTGAATCCGAAAATAATACTTCCTAAATAAAATGTGATACGTTTTCTATCATCAAATAAATATTTAAGTGCTGATATAGATGTTTTGCGGTGCTCAAACATTCAACGTTGACAGTAACGTGTGTAAGTAACGAAACTAAGTGTCGAACTATTTATTAAGAATTAATGTAAATTATTGTTATATTTACATGATTTTTTATTTCTGTTTAGTTTGTCATGTACTAAACAATGAGACCCTCTCACGGTAGCTAACTTTAAACATGACATTATTTTAAGACTCGTCGAAATTCACTCGAAGTCAATTTAATTAAGTCTTCCATTACTAAAAGTTACGCATATTTTCATTGTAAATATTCTTTTTAGAGTACAATAAAATTGTATGAAATTAAACATTTATGCTAATTATACATTATTATATAGTTGACGCGTATTGTTTATATAATATTATTCAGTAATCATAAGGACATATATTTTTGTAATCATAGATTTAATCAAATTAACTGAGCGTAAAATTTTATTGATTTTTTGGAATGTAAGAATATACTTTATTTCGTAAATCCTCTACTTGTTTTTTTTTTTCTTGACAATATAATACCCATTATTTAGTAAATATTTATTGTACATATTACAAACGTTAGTCCTTTCATATATTTCGATTGCATTATTCCCGGTGTTACAGCCTTCTGTGAATTTTTAAATTACATTACATACAATTCCCTCTTCGATGGATAATTTAGATAGATTAAATCTTGTAAAAAAAAGATCAATAAACTGTATTATTTTATAATTCTCCCGTCTATCCCTCAATAAATTTATATCTAAAATCAGTTGCAAACTGCAACTTCTGCTGTTATACAGCGTGTCGCGACAATAAATGAACACACATATAGAGGATAACTTTTTAAAATTGTATTAAACATTTAAATTCTTTAAACATCAAAATTTACAGAGTTATTAAATATTCCAAAACAAAGAATTTTAGTACATCCTTACGTATAAAACTGTAACGTAAAGTTCATTTGTAAAGGTCACAAAGCATATGAATGGGTTGAATGAATTTAAAAGAGACAAAATATACTGTTAGAAGGAGAGGCTTGTAATGCGACGCTGTGACAATGAATGAAAAAGTCTCTGAATGTATGAATCAGTCAGTTGTAGTTGTATAGGATGTTTCAAATTTTGTTTCTTTTTACTTAATTAGTTTGTTTGAAAAATATTTTTTTTTAATTATGGATTTTGTTTAACGTTAATATTTTTTTATGATTATTGGCAAGTAGCGTTAGACGAGTGTTCATTTATTGTCGCGATGGTAACGACACGCTGTATAAATGGACAGGTACTTCCGGGATAGGGATAAGGCCTCAAAGAAGGCCAGCGTAAATTAAAATTATTTATACTGATATCTCCGATTTCGTCACCATGCAGAAAGTAAAAATTCTAATGCTACTGTAGCGTGATTATTACTAATATTACGTTTATTAGGTTTTTCAAGTCTTTGGTTACGTAAGATTAAACAATTCTCATCATTATATCATTGATCATGTTACGTTTTGTGATCAAAACCATCTAACATAGAGCAACGAAGAAAATAACGAACACGCTTTTGCTTCTAATCCTATTAATTGATATCCAAAATCAGTAATGTATAGAATTATATTATATTTTCCTTTTTTGTTGTACTGAATATTACCTCCATTGACCTAAATGTTCCAGTTTCCGCCGATCTTAAATGTTTAATGAGCCCAGTCAGTACCAGTGGAATATACATAAAGCAAATGATTTTACTGCGTATCGTATGAGTACATAATAAATTAAGTGCCCATTACCGCGACATCAAGGAACATGGCAAAGGCTCCGAAAACTATATAGTTTCAGCGAGGAGTTTAGCTGTAACATGATTGGGCTGTGTGTGTTGTGTGTGTGTAAGGAACACTTAACATATGATATCGATGAAATTAAACATTTGTGCAACATGTCTCCCAATCAATACTGGAGATACGAATAAAATGTAATATTTATTATTTTTTCACGTGGAAAAAATCCTTTATGGATCTCTTTCTGGATTCTTATGCATCCTTTATGGATTTCATACTTTTGTCATGAAATAAAAGTATAAATTTTTATTATTACAAGATTATTATAGACGAAATCTTTCGAGATAGGATTTAGTATGAATCAACAGATAACAAATCTTATGAAAAGATTTTATCTTTTTTATAGTTCAACTAGCGACCCGTCCAGGCTTCGCATGGGTGCAATATAAAATACGTATAAGCCTTTCTCTTGAATCACTCTATCTAGTTAAAAAAAACCGCATCAAGATCCGTTGCGTAGTTTTAAAGATCTTAGCATACATAGGAAAAGACAGACAGCGGGACGACTTACTTTGTTGTTTTTCAATTTTTCAATTTCAATTCGGCCAAAAGTGTTTTAAGTTGCTCTTAGAGTTTTACGTCGGTAATGTTGTGTTAATCGGCGGATGTCGACAATCAAGTAAATAAAATAAATATAGAATTAATGAATTAATATCATTTAATCTGTGATGATTTTGAACAATATAAATAATTATCTTAAGAGTTTTATGTTAGAAATTAATTTCTGCCGTTATAGGTACATACGCGGCGAAATCCCAACAGCACGCCTGGGGCCCGACCCTACCCGTCGCGGAACTAAATTATTCTATTATCAACAGGAATGAAGTGATCAACGCGCGAATACGCACCGCTTCCTCTATACACGGTACATTGCGGTCGAGCACGGAATTCTAATCAGATTTTCGAGCCTAATTAGCAAACGTAACTAAGTGTAGAGAGGATAGCAGGTTTTACATACCTTTCGATTCCAATAAATGTACATTAAGTACTACAGTTGTTTTTCATAATAACCTTTTATTGACGTTTAATTTTTTTATTAATAGAAACACTAATGCCTTCCATGGGAAAATGGAATACACGAATATACTCCCTAATCAAAGATCAAAATTCGTCGATTTCACATGAAGTTTCCTTAAGTGTTAAAACCGTTTGATGATATGTTTTATTAGCTATCATTATCTGTAATTATACAATACATTGAATAAAGGACCGATTATAAGACATATCGTTTGTTGGTATAAACGGCCGCGACCGACAGAGATTTAGTACACTCGTAGTCGTAAAGGCTGAAAGCAAAAACATCAACCGATAAAGAAAATGCTAAAATCCCGAACCTTGAGCGTCTGTCTCGT